CGCTAACATCCAAGCTCCGGAAGAGGGTGGCAGCTTCCACCTAGGCGAAACTTGGTGCGTCGGGACATGAGACATGGAACCCCGAGGAAAACCACCCCGATTTGGTTTCTTTCAAGTTTTGCAAATCGGTTCACCAGGAAAAGGTCACCCCCTATCGCACCAGCAAGGAAACCAGCGCATCAAAATCACAGGGTGATGTCTGCTTTGGTTTTGGGCGTTTGAAGCATGCAGCTGGACAAGTTCTTACAAGCCTATTCTAGCTCAAATTCAATATTCAAAGGCAAAAGTCAAGACACAATGAACATCTTTCTCTGGGCTGTTCAAAAATGGAGTGTTGGCCAATCCTAATCCATAATGAAGCCACTACAAGGGGACCCCGTGCATAACCCCAGGTGAGGATTCAGGATTACCTTTGAGCAGCCCAGTTTCTGTGTGTTTTACAACTTTCCTTACATCCTTGTCGACCTTCAGGCGCCCAGCCCCGCAGGCAAGGCACGCGGCTCACAACTTCCGTGCAACGTGAGCGTTTTCAAACTTCCGGGCTTTTCCTTGCACCCGTCGCACTGCTATTTGTGAGACAAGTTCGCAGGCATCTGCGAAAAAGGTCAAGGACATAAGACCAAACAGGACTATCAGCACTACCATGTCCCGAACCAGAACTCCCGGTAGCTCCCAAAGGCTCCCTCTTTAAAAACCAGATTGGACGGCTCCCTTCCAACCACTAGCTAGGCCTTCTTGTTCTCCCAGGTGCCTGCCAAGGAAACGTCTTCCGGCACAGGTCTCAGTGAGATCGAGAGAAGCAGTGCTCGAAAGAGTGCTCGGGAGGATCTTCAATCCCGGAAGCTTTTGATAGTTCGCTCAGCAAACATGAGTTCAGAAAATCACTCTTGGTGGTTTGGTGGTATTCCGGGGTGTGTTTCCATCAACTAGCCGGCCATCCAAATCCAAAGCACCAATGGGGTACCTGATGAGTTGGGCTGCAGCGGAATCGGGGTGGTGCTCAGCGTATGCTTGGGAATCCACGCCGGCTATGAGCCTTAAGCGTCCCATATTTGCGAATCTGGCTTCGGGGTGTACGGTATCCGCCGCGTGGAACCACTCTCAAGTCATAAACATGAGAGCGAGCGGTTGAGGCAGCTTGACAACACGCCGTGCCGTGGCTACAAGCCCGAGCTGAGTTCACACTCGCGCTGGGCAACATCCGTGTTGCCGCGGCAGCTTTGCTCGTGCAGGGCAAAGAACTAGAACGTCTGGCTGGCATGGATTTCACACTCATGGCAGCCAGCCTGAGCCTGTACAGACCAATTCAAAAGTGCCGCAGTTCCCACGCTGAAAGTATGACCAGCGTTCGATTCACTCATGACGTCAGAGTGCACTCCATGCACATTTGTTGTGCGGACAGGGCGGGAATCGCTTTGAGCGCCTGCGGCCAACAGTGGTCGTCCGGACAAAGCGGTACAAGAAGGCATGCTCCTTCTTAAGTTTGCTGTTCCATGGCGGGCTTGCTGAAAGCAAAGCATGAAATCAAGCTTGCCAAACCTCAGTTATAGACCCTGGATTTAAGTTGGAGGTGGGGCTCCCGTCTACTAACCATGGGTTCAAATCCAACGGATCCAACGGTACCTGATGAACTTCTCGAGCCTCGCCCTCCCTCAAAAGGCCCACACCTCAGGCATGCGGGCCCGGTTTGGTGGTTAGTGGTGGTTTCCCAGTTAATGTTGACCCCAGATTAATAAACCTGTCCCATTCTTAGGGGGTGTTCCCTCCAAAAGTGATGAATCCCCACTAAAAGGGGACACCACTTATTAATCAACCAGGGATTTATTCATCTGGGGACAACATTACCAGTTAGCTTGGGGTTCAGATCCCCAAACCACCAATCCAAACCATCAAGGGTTACCTCCTTTGCCGAAACGGAACATGCGTCAAACAAAACATACACATCGCGTTGACATAAACGCCCAGCCAAGGACCTAGCAAATGTGAATACTACTCTCGGAACACTAAGCGGTGGCAAGTTGTGGGACTGCCAACGGATTAATACCCCCCTGTTTATTGATATGGGGTTCCCTCCAAAAGCGATGATTCCCCACCAAACCCAAAGACACTCCCTATTAATAAACAGGGGGTTATCAAAAATGGGGTCCACATCAGCATAACGCTCCACGATTGTGAACCGTCATACTCAGCCGCTGACGTAAGCTCCATTGTCCACAGGGCTGGGCGCTTCCTCCAGGGCGCTTCCAGTGAGGCTGCACTGAGTCTCTGGTCACATGGGAAAGACGCGTCGCTGCGCCCTTTGTGATCTGGCCTGCGCGTTGGCGCTGCTAACGACGTTGGCGTTGCCAACGACGTTGGCGCTGACGCTTTCTGCAGGATCCGGGATGTTGTTCACTTCGGTTTGCCTGAGCTGCGAGCTTCTTGCAGGATGAATGACGCCATGTACGCCCTAAACACATCTAAACACTGGCCAGTACAGGTTTACAAGAAACATACACCAGTGCTGAGCGACATTGAATTAGATGGCATGCTCTTGTTTCGACTGGATGACCAAGGTCTGCACACTTTCAGGCTGGTTTCTTTTGTCCTGGCATGCCGCGCTTCAGCTTGTGCCCATCGGACAACCAAACGTTTGAAACACAGCCACCTGCCAAAGAAAAGTCAACAAGAAGTTCTGCAGCACGGGAACTAATATATAGTTAGCCCGCTTTAATCGAGTGCAAAAGTGGCCCTTTCGTGAGTCTAGCGACGTCTGACGGCGCAGTCGCGCGAAGGGTTCAACCGGTGAAGCTTTGGGCGAGTCGACCTTCAAAAACTCATGGTCTTTATATAACAGTTTTCACATCGGTCACACAACCATTCAAGACTCATTCTTTTCAGCTTGCGCAACATCAAAAAGTAAACCCTCTCTGACTTTCGGTGGGTACAAAGTAGATCTCTTTCGTGCTAGTTCGCTGGCGGAAGCCTCTGCGGACTTTGGGGGCCAACCAAGGAAGAGAAAGAGAAAAAACAACATGAAAAAGAAGAACAACAGGAACAGGAAGAATCAAATCAAGATAAGATGCAAGGGAAGTGGAAAGAGAAAGAAAGAGAGAACGAGGAAGATAAATATAAAAGAAATGATACAAAAAAAGAGAAGGGAAAAACAAAGAAAGAGAGAGGGAGAGAGAGACAAACACGCTCCAAACTATATGATACAAGTTTGAAACTTTCGCCCTTCGGCCCTGCCGGAAATTGCTGGCAGCTCAAACCAAGTCATGAGCTCGGTCACGTGGCTTTTTGCCCTTAGGCCTCCGTCTCGGGGACCAGGTCTGGATGTCTTCCAGGTTTGGCCAGTGCCAAAGCTTGCGCTGCTCTGGGAGGAGGGCCTGGAGAAACTGCTCTGGTGCCGTTGCTGTTTTCTGACCGCAGGCCCCCCCCCTGAAACAAGAAGCACATGAACGCAGGCTTGGAAACGTAGAGCCGCAGGAACAAACAGCTCCGTAAATAGCGCCATGCAAGTGGCAGGATGGCCGCGGAGTAAAAAGCGAAGCCAGAAGTAGAGGACCCGGCGTCATCTTACACCCAAGTGAGCTCCCTTGCGTTTGGAGAGCCACCCAAATAGTGCCAGTTGAACAAACCCGAGCAAAGGTGCGACAAGCGTCGCGCAGGATGGGGTCGTGAGGGCCGCGTTGCGCCCTACCCAAACTCCGTGAGACATACGCTATGGCCCGGTATTCGAAGCCCACCCCAGGTTTGCTTCTGCTAGGCCATGGAACAAAACCCACTTGGTGGGCCTTGGCAGAATAGCTCAAAGCAGGGCTCTTGCAAGAGTTGTTCAAAAAGCCACTTGAGTCATAATCAAAACCCGGATTAAAATGGTTGACCCAGAACTATGTAAAGAATTAAGAAGGCGGCCGCAGCTATTTATGGTTGGGATCGTCCCTTGCTAACCTTCATCTACCAATGGGTTTTGATTGTGGCTCACTTAGTTTTCTTGTTTTGGACAGCCGTCGCCGGCGTGCGACATCTCCAACCTGCAGGGCCAACCTCTCGCCCACGCGACACGTGGCAAGGGATTGCTCATGGAGCGAAACTCGCAACGAGGGAATGAGGACATGAACCCAGAGGGTCCCAGAGGGTCCAGGGGATGGTTGAAGTCATTCCATTTCTCATTCCCTGATCCCACGAGCAGCTTGCCCGACTTGGGTCCCCGGCTGGCTTCAAGTGTCTCAGCTTCGGATCTGGTTGGAAGCCTGCGAGCAGAGAAAATTCCCGCGGTACATGCCGCATGCTCCGTGCCTACTGACCGGACGAAGGACCGGTTGCCACCTGTTGAGAGAGATCCGGCGCGAGACCCATCGACTCGCCGTCAAGTCGGTAAGCAGTTGGCAAGCCCTCCGTGCTCCCGGCCGAAACGGATCCAACGCAGAAACCATGGACGCCGCCCTCGCCGGACCATCTCCACAAACTCCTGACTGGCCCAAGACTGGCCCAAGGTCAACCACAACCGGTCCGCAAACACGCACCTTCTCCGAATAGCCCAGCTCTTGCAATGCTCCGATGTGACCTAGGGTGTGCCACTTGAAGCAAGCGACCAAGCATGTCAGATATGTATATCGTGCATGGTTTGCACCATGCGACCCAGACGCTACATACATGATTCTTCCTGGAAACCCATATGTCGTTTTTTTGGTCCATACGGCTTGGGCCACAAAAAATGACCATACGGTTATTTACGTCTTTTTGTCAACAATTGGCCATTGGCCAGCAAAAAATGACCATACGGGAAAAATGATCCAAATACGGGTTCCGTCCAAAAAAAACGGCCATACGGCTTTCCAGGTTGTCATTCAATTATTCTTTACCACCTAGTTCGCAGATTTCTCAAAGCCAACCAGGTGCACAAATGTGCCTTTTCGTTGCATGCTGCTAATCCTCTGCCAAACATCACCCCTCCCAGGAGGAAGGGGGGGGTCAAATTGGAATTGATATGATTGACCCCTTCAGCCCCTAGTTTAACATGGGGTTCAAACCAGAGCAGCGGGTGACTAGGGGACT